GGGGGAGGGGACATTAGAGTGTAAGCTCCTCTGTACAGAGACTGATGTGACTGTGGGGGGGGGGACATTAGAGTGTAAGCTCCTCTGTACAGAGACTGATGTGACTGTGGGGGGAGGGGACATTAGAGTGTAAGCTCCTCTGTACAGAGACTGATGTGACTGTGGGGGGAGGGGACATTAGAGTGTAAGCTCCTCTGTACAGAGACTGATGTAACTGTGGGGGAGGGGACATTAGAGTGTAAGCTCCTCTGTACAGAGACACGTGACTAGCTCAGTGTTGTACAGCACCGTGGTATATGTCAGCGCTATATGTATATTATACAAGTCACCAGTTACCTCATCGGCCGGCTGGTCCAGTACAGGAAGTTTTTTCTCCAATTGGTCCACCACTTGAAGTGCCACGTTATTGGCCGCTGCGACTGCAAATCAGAAATACGTCACCGTCAGAGGTATGACGCCGCCACCCCTCTACACACTCCATGCATCAATGACTATTTACAAAGCAGGTGACGGGTCTTTTCAGCCCTCAATAAGATTCAAAACCCGACCTGAAAACGTAAACCACCAGACTGATCACTGTGGGAGGGGAGACTGAGGAAATGCTTCCTCCTGCCTGCAGCAGACTGATCACTGTGGGAGGGGAGACTGAGGAAATGCTTCCTCCTGCCGCCAGCAGACTGATCACTGGGGGAGGGGAGACTGAGGAAATGCTTCTTCCTGCCTGCAGCAGACTGATCACTGGGGGAGGGGAGACTGAGGAAATGCTTCCTCCTGCCTGCAGCAGTTCTATCACTGGGGGAGGGGAGACTGAGGAAATGCTTCCTCCTGACCTGCAGCTGTCTGATCATTGGGGAGGGGAGACTGAGGAAATGCTTCCTCCTGCCTGCAGCAGTCTGATCACAGGGGGAGGGGAGACTGAGGAAATGCTTCCTTCTGCCTGCACCAGACTGATCACTGGGGGAGGGGAGACTGAGGAAATGCTGCCTGCAGCAGACTGATCACTGTGGGAGGGGAGACTGAGGAAATGCTTCCTGCTGCCTGCAGCAGACTAATAACATCATCTGCTATGCAAAGTCACTGACTGGAGGTGAAGTTGGGGCTCTTTTTGGTAATCACAGCCACTCTCTGGTGCTGCTTCTCCCACCCCCAGTCTAAGCTCCGCCTCCTCAGGTCTAGGTCAGGCACCGGCTCTGCTTGTGTTTACAATGAAATAACATGAATCTGCGTCTTGTATATTGAAGGCAGTGAAGGGGTTATTCAAGAAATTGGACTTGTGGTAACGAGCGCGGTAGCAGTCAGCGGCGACGGTGGGATAATCGGCGTTGTTAGCCGGGCCCGGCCTCCCGAGGGGCGCAGCCAATTATTTTGCGCTCAGCATAAGAAGGAATAATTTGTAAGTCTCTGGAGGTCTCCTCGGCGCCCGCTAAGACACGAGCGAGGCCGATTTACACCGCAGCGGCGCCTCGCTTCCCTGCGCACATGGCAAAGCCAGAGGTCCC